GTTTTGGGGATGGGGGAGGCGTCTGCGTGACGGCGGCCTTGCGTGACGGCGGCCTTGCGTGACGCCGTCTCTCGTCACAGAAGCCCGGTGGTTCAGGCCGCTCTGTGCTTGTGGCGGTGCGACTTGTGAGTGTCCCCTTTCCTTTCCAGCCTTTCTGGGCGCCTATCTCCTTTACTCCTGGGGAACACAAGAGTTTGAGAGGCTGAAGAGGAAGAACCCTGCTGACTATGAAAACGACCAGTAATCGAGCTAATAAGGCGGTTGTTACCTCACTGTATTATCAACTTCGTGTTGCTAAGCTTGTTCACATGACTAGAAGGGTATTAAGAGGCAGATGAGTCTTGTCTAATAAACTTTAACTTTGCCTCATGATTTTGTGTGAAATCTGTGTCTTGAAGGTGGGTAGCATCAGACTTTGTGTGAAATCCGTGTCCTGAAGGTGGGTAGCATCAGATCTCTGTCTGGCTCACTCTGTAGAGGGAGGTGATCAGGCTAAAGTTTGGTAGGCTCAGATGTTTTTATGTTACAGCGTTTCCAGCTTTTTTGACTCTCCTTTCTTTGAAATGTTCCTCAGTATAACTGGTGTAGTGAGGGCTGCCTTCAGCTGGAGGCGATGTGAAGTAACAGCTCATTGATCCCTTTATCTTTCCATGGCTGGCCACTTTTTTTTTCTCTGGCCTCGAGATCTGTGAAAAACAAATAGGCCACCTGACTCGGTATCAACCAAAACTGCACGAGGTGGCTGATGGCTCAGGGTTGAATGTGGACTTTGACCCTCTGTACAGAGGCTCGCTCTTCTCAGGGAGCCCCGTGCAGAGGACAAGGGGCAGCAGGTACAAGCCGCACCGGGAGAGGTTTCATCTCCATGTAAGAAAGGAATTTTTTGCCGTGAGAACGGTCGGTCACTGGAACAACCTCCCCAGGGACATGGCGAGTCCCCAGCTGGAGGTTTTCAGGATGCGACTGGACAGGGTGCCAGATAACCTCATCTGGGCTCCCTTCCCACGAAAGGTTGGACCGGATGACCCTTCGAGGTCCCTTCTAACCTGGGCTGTTCTATGACTCTGTGATTCTAATTACCTAGTTACAGTAATTAATGTTAATTGGATGATTAACTGCAATTCTGATATCTGATTAGTGTTAATAGGCTGGATTAGAAGCTTCTTGGAAACTACCAGGAGAAACAAGACTGTTTAATACCTGAAGGTGATTTAAAAACGAATGCTAGTAGGAAAGCTACTTAAGTATGTGACAAATAAATTCACCCCGTGGCTCTAAGTGCATAAACAAGCTTCACTGTTCAAGTCCAGAGCATCTGGCTGGTTCCTTTATCCTTTTCTTCCTTTCAGTCTTCAGCTGACTGTCTTGGGCTCATGCGCCGCGCAAAGCAACATGTTTATCTCCCTGTTGTGCTATTCCTGTAGTTGGTACTGAGTTTATCTTATCCGCAGGACGGGAGTGACGTTTCCCTGTGTTAGTTTCTCGGTGTGCTCAGGGCTGGGCTGTCCAGAAGACAAAGATGCTCAGTCTCTCACTTCAGAAAGTTGGGGGGGGGGTATGCAATTTTTATAGCTGAATACTTTATTCTTTTGGGGCTCTTAACGTATGTTTAAAAAGCACAGGAGACTAAGCTCAGTCTTAGGGCTGCTCCTACTGCTCTTGTGTTTACTCCAAATACAGCCTGAGGTTGGCACAAACAGGAGCAATGCAAGTCACCCAGCGCTGCAAGTTGTGCCAAAAATACTCTGTGCTTAAATTCAACTCTGTGTTGCAGTTCGTTGGTATTTTCTAGGCAGCTTAAGCAAGCAGGGAGCAACGAACTGGCTACTACGATTGTGAGAGCTGGCAAAGATGTCTAGAGGCAGACTTTATTCAAAACTTTACTTGTGTCCTGCTTACTTAGCCTCTAAGAGCACCCACAGCAGCTGATGGGTAGCCTAAATGATGGCACGTGTGAACTTTTATGTTGGTAGCTTCAGTAAATGCTTCTTTTTCAATGCATTTCGTCTCAGCAGCTCTGCTGAAGGTGAGCAGCTCGTCTCGGTCTCTCCCACGAGGTCTCTGCCCCCGTTCACAGGCAGCTGAACTGTGTCTGAACCAGCTGCTAGACTACTGTAAGCGGCGTGGCACCTTCACCTCAGCCCTGCTGCAATGTCAGCAGGCAGGCTGGGCCTCCTCACCCTTTGCTCCGCCACCGGCCTGTCCTGACCCTGCCCAGCCGTCCTCCGCCTCCGGTGCCCCTGCGCTCGCCCAGACCGCCCGCAGGGCCCAGCCTGCCGGGCCGGGAGCCGGGTGCGGAACCTGGTACCAGCAGGGATGGCTCCTGCGGGACGTGTGGCATTCGGGAGTTTGGCCGGTGGGTATTTCAGAATCTGAACAAGGCGTTTGAAAATTTCTCAGTCATCTAATTCATCTCTGTTAGAAGTAGCGATGTTTTGTGGCTTTTTTTTTTGTTGTTGTTATAAGCTGCCTCTTTGCTGTGGCATTTTACTGGTGTGCTGGACTTGCATACACGGAAACAATTGGTTCAGTTTTTTTCCTCTTTCCCCCCCCCGCCCCCCAGTTCAGTGAATGGATTGCTGCCTGAAAGGGATATGCTGACGCTATTAGTAACCCAGAAGGACACACAACAATTTTGACATATCGTTACAAAGTACTAGTCTTACCTAGCCAAAAAAAGCTGAGAAACGACGACGTACAGAGGGCACTGCTGTCAGAGTTGAAAGAGCTGTCATTTCAAATCCTGTGCTCCAGAGGTGAAGTCAAGGCGGCTGCTGCTGCCTCTCGTTTTCCTTCTCTGTTCTATACTAGTGCCTAGTGGAAATAGCAGAAATTAGAACTCGGATGCATGTAAAGAAAGAACTTCATGGGAAAAACAATTGAGAAATTCACAGCCAAATGTAGAAGAAATTTTTAAGTTCAGCTATTTGATGTGCCATGATTTACTGTCCCATTTCCTTCCCTTCGTAAGACCCAGGAAGGTGAGATAACGAAGGGTTTTGATTCTTCCTCCCAGGGAAGCAAGACAAGCAGGGCAGAGGAAAGAGTGTAAGAAGAACCCTGGGAAATGAACAAATTTTCCAATAGTGGTTGTAGACAATATGCTGGGAAGGATTTTTATTTAATCTCAGTAAGTTTGGGCTAAGGGGAAATCACCTGTAGACAGGAACCTGACAACATGGCATTATCTTAATCTAAGTAACTCGCCTTCCACGCTGGCACTTACGCCTGCATACTAATCAATCACAGAAAACGGTAGCCTATTACAGCCGGATTTGAATTTACAATTTAGCTAAAACATAGTTCACTATTTCGTACAGTACCTTCCTACTTGAAGTAACTTAAAACGTAGTGTGCTCCAAAACCTACGCATACTTGACACGAATAACTTGGTATTCTCTTTATGTTACTCTGCAATCTCAAAAGTCTTGTACCGGACGGACACGGCGTACATGGGACAGATGTGGGAGCCAGATGCACAAGATCTCTCAGATGAGGAGGAGCGAGTACCACCAGCGAGGTCCATTTACAGACTGGTAACCTTAGACACACGCTTCTCCCACTTGTCCCAACATTTGTAAACTGAGAGGATTATAGAGAAGAGGGGAGGTGACAGGTAGCTCTTAAACGTTCTTTTCTCTAGGAGGAGCGAACCAGCGAGGTCCATTTACAGACTGGTAACCTTAGACACACGCTTCTCCCACTTGTCCCAACATTTGTAAACTGAGAGGATTATAGAGAAGAGGGGAGGTGACAGGTAGCTCTTAAACGTTCTTTTCTCTAGGCTGTTGCAATCTCATTTCACAACGGAAAAAAATTAAGGTTCCTCTTAATTACAAACTGCCCACCCACATCAGCGGGAGTTGTCGGCACCTTTTAGGAGACTAATGCAGAGTTAGACTGTGAGGTACAGAGGCAGACTGTAGCAGGGACGGCTCATCTAAAGAAACCAGTCTTGCCACATGGAGCAACTCGGCTCCAGAAAACCCTTGCGGCAGCCTCCTCCACCTTTGGGATTAGCTGTCCGGAGATTATCATCTTTGACTACGCGTTAGGATCCTTGGAAGAAGGGGTCTATTATTTATCATGCGTAACATACTTCTTACATTCCAAAACCATCTGAAAAGTATTACATCTGCTTTTTGAGTACCGTGTGCGTGGAAAGGAAGGTTAAGTAACTTCCTCATGATTCTTTCACGTACCAAGAATGAGAAGCAGAATCAAAAGCAGGATTCTCTGCTCCAAATAAGCTCGGTAAGACAATACTTACCCCAGCTGACAAACTCAAAGCTGCACACTCTGTGACTGTCACAGAAGTTAAATAAGGTTATGGCTTTTGATCTTTACCATAATACTTTGCGCCAACCACCCTTTTGCTTGCAACTACACTGTGGTGTTCTGGTAACACTTTGGTAGGTTTTAAAAAAAGGAACAGTTGGCACAACTGGTAACCTGACCAGACAAAGTACAAGTGGAAGGAGAGTAAATCATTAGCCAGACAGACAGGCCTTGAACCAGATCACTTCAGCAGATGCTAACTTAGTAATTCCCTCTTGCTCCGAAATGAACTTTGTTCCTGTAATGACTGACAGCTGATGCAACGATAAGAGAATGAAGTCTATAAAAATCTAGCTGAAGCTTGGGAAGTTCTATCTGGGACTCTTCCTACCTCCTCCCCCCGAGGCTGGTCCTACGGTCGAAGTGACAGCTCATACTGCGAAGATGCACTGTTGGAAAACGATGGTGGTCTTTTTGCTCTGCTCGCTGCTGCTCAGCCAGGTAAATAGAGATAACTATTTAAAGTGCTAATTCAAATGGTCAGGTAGTTAATAAAAGCTGTTATGATTTGCATGAATAAGAGTAACTGGCAGGAGTTAGAGGTGACAGTAGAGCTCTTTTAGAGGATTCAACGTCATAAAAAAGTAGAGTAACTGCCTAGTGAATACTGGGTTACTCTGAGACATAACTTAGCAAAAGTAATCCTGCCTCCCCTCCCACGAAGATTTAAAAACATAGTTAATTTTTATACATCTTACTTCTTTGGGGTTAGGCTACAAGCAATTATACTTTAACAGAGCATGCTATGATCTGAAAACGAGAAAGATTTCAAGTTCCTCACTGAAGACTATTGACCTCAGCATCAGAATGACCAAGCGCCCACGGTTGCTGCGCGTTCCTGACAGTCGCACTACAACTCTGTTTCAGACACGCTGTGCTTCCTTGCACCCCCGGCAGCCTGGGCTCGCGAGGCAGAGGCGGATGACACCTTTCTGGAGAGGAGTCTCACTGAGACCCATTGGAGCCTCGTGCAGGGATAACAGTGAATGCATTACAATGCTGTGCAGGTAACTAATCCTGACCAATGTTCAGGCTCAGCGACACAATATTATATTATGTAGAGGAAATTCTCGCTCATTCTCACCCAAACGAGGTATGGAGTTAATTCTGTGCATAAAAAAGATACTGGGAATGGGGATGGGGCAATAGATTTAGTCCTCTTTTGTAAGCAATGCAAACAGAGCAGAGTCCAAGCGCCCTTGATTACAAGCGTTAGTCCTTTCATTGCAACCCCAAATAACCTGTCTTTTCAGAAAAGAACATAGGATTCTAGACAGCTTTTAGGTAATCACTTAGACACCTTAAAATCAATCCTTCTTAAAGCCTGTACTGTTTACTTTAAAGCATATATTAATTAAAAGCAGTACCTTACCCTAAATTAATCACTTTAAGGTGATTACTTAAGCTCATAGTTTAAAAGACAACTAAAATATCAAAAGCCATTTAGTTCTCATCGACGCTAGACACGAGCAAATCGTCCAACTACATATAGTTAAATTGATTAGTTAAAATTACCACGTAGTGACTGAAAGCTGATTTTGTGTGGCACCTACCGTACACATACCAGAAAGCAAACAGAGACAGGGTAGAATATATTTGCATATAGCAGAAAATGGGTACAATAGGACAGGGTAGTCAGGCTGCTGTTCTGCATGCATTTGAAATGCATCATTTGGTTCTACCGAGTAACACAGGTGAACTCGAACAGCAGCTACAGGAAGGTGTAGACAGAAGGGGATTTCTGTTGTGTGCAATTTCTACACCGCAGCCTGCCCATATAGCCCTGGGTAACGTGCATTTTGGAGTTGTTATGCAAAGCAAAGAACATAAAGTGAATCAAGACGAACTGAACAGAGTTAAAGAGGTGACCACCATGTGCACGGCTACATGAGCCGAATACGAGCACTGTTGTAACGGTTGGGTAAGAGGAACACTGCTAAGGACGCATCTGAGGATGCGTGTCTGAGCCCTGCGCAGCTGGCAGTCCGAGCTGCCGGTGCCTGATGATGTTTTTTGTTTTCCAGGAAGAACCGCTGCTTCCTCAGAACAGCCTCGGAGTGACCTGTCACGACGAAGAACACCCATCGCTGTTACTGCTGACAATGCTCCACTCTACTTGTGAAATATTTATTGACCGTTCAAAAGCTAGGACAGTGAATCGAGCAATAAGCGTATTTAATGTTTCTGTCATCTGAACTGCTAAAAGGACTTCAAAGAGCTTGAGAGCATCCCCTAACCGAGGCTGTACCTCTGCAGCACACGCTTCAGGATGCCTCTCTGGCCAAGCTCAATAAAAGGACTCTGCATCTCGTGTTCATTTTGTTTTTTTGTAATGGTTCGGGTTTTGTTTGTTTTTTTTTTTTTAAGGCGTGAATTAAAAATTTACATTCAGCAAACCACCTTGGTTTTCCTTGTATCTGGTGAGCAAAGTGTACGGTGAGTGCACATCAGGCGTTTCACGCAGGAGTGCTTATTTCAAACTGCACTTTAGACATTTATCCTTCAACCTGGCAAGTACACAAAGTAGATCATCACGCTTCCATCTCATTTCAGTCTCAGCAGCTGAACTCTTATCAGTACTTCAGATAAAGGCCTGTTAGAAAGAGGGAGCAAACAAACTGGTACTACTGATAGCATTTTCAACACCCTAAATATATCCAGTGACAACTGGAAGGAAAAGTATTTCCTTTTAATTACTTCCAATCAAATTCACGTAAACAAATGTCCCAGACTGACTGTTGCCACTGAAGTATCTACTAGTTTAAAATAAATTGATCAAAATCCAGTTTTGATCAGATGCACGTGAACTTGGAGGGCTGAGAGAAACAAAGCCACTTTCGCTTAGACGCACATCAACAAGTCTAGGACACAAATACTGAACGCTCTTTGCCTTTTCTTACACACAGAGCACTAGGACCAAGAAAGCAAACTCTGCTTAGAAACGCAATACCAGGGAGGAGAAACCCCAGGCAACAGATACGAGCACAGTGGTTTTGAAGTTTAATACAGAAAATCTATTTGATATTTATTAAACTTAGTTTCTCCAGTTACAGTTTTGCATTGTACAAAGCATTTTAATGACACAGTAGTTAAAAAGATCTTTACAAATTGAAATGTGATACCCTTTTCTCCAAATATTTTAATTGCCATAAATTTGTTTAAAAATACACATTAAACGCATGTTTCAGACACTAAACTTTCTATAATCTCAATACCACAAAATACATAGAATATACTATACAGATGTGGAAAAAATCTAGTTAGTATATAATACTTTGCTCACCATTAACAGCTTTATTACGTGAAATGCACATACTGACTTAGAAATCCTAATTTTGAGCCCCAAAGTACCCTTTGAAATTTCAAATGTATTGCAACAAATAAAAATCACAGTTTGTTTTTTTTTTTTTAGGTTTTGGTTGAAGACAGATGCCTAAATATTTTGATAGAAACAAAATGTAACACATGGACTTGTCATGTACAAAGCATAAAACAGAGACATCCCATTAGTTACTAACAGTACCTTTCCGTATGATTAATAAGGGCTTCATTTATAAGTGACAGGTTAAAAGTTACCTTCCCCCACCCACAAGCCCTCCCCCAAAAGAAAAACCCTTCTTCACCAAATAATAATTTCAAATAAGATAAAGGATTTTTAATAAATATATAAGCACTTTATCCTCCATATACAAAATTCCTTAAAACAATTTAAAAGGGCGACCAGATACAAATGTCAGGAACTGTGCTTGCAAAAGTCACGCCTGGTCCTTAGAGTTGAGTTTTCAGGTGTGTAATGCCAGTGCGGCCAAAACCAAGTGCTGCAGAAGTAGCGTGCGCCCAACTACATCAGCTGTCAGGGTTGCATATAAAAACTGAAGACCGGGAACACCGCATTCCAATTTGCCCGTATCGGCTCCGTTAGCGCCCGTGGAGAGTTACAACAGGAATGGATACACTTCCATGAAGTTTCCAGATGAAATTAAAACAGGTGAAGCATTTACATAAAGCTAGCCTACACAAGCTCCGTGCTGTACCACGGCATTCCAAATTGCTCCGCATAGCGTATTCGAGTGAGACTCGGCTGCGTACTGGCAGAGAGCAGAGAGCCAACGCTGTGGGAAGGGCTGACCCAGCACAGACCAGAGCTGCTGCTCTGCCACGCTCCTATCGAGAGAAGAATCTGTTGACTGTACGGCTGACCCTTCCCTCCCCGCCTCCCCCTGCCCCAGCGCTGCTGCTGTCAAATGGCATCACGGCAGCAGAGACCGATTCCTCGACAAGTAACGGAGCTGGACATACATCACGGCTCCCTGATTGTTTGAGTTTACGTAACTTCCCTACTTCGGAAATTTGTCTCCTGGAATAGCTCTGGATTTGTCTGAGTCGGCTAGCAAAAGCTTTGGCTGCTCTTTAGACCTAGAGATGTCTAGCATTAACTTTGTTGCTTGGAAACACGGGGTTTTCCGTAACACTGATTCATCAGATGGAGTAATTTAAACCCTGACCAAAGTATTTGTCAGAAACCTAAGAATTTGGAAGTCGTTTACTCCCCAATGGGTAATTCAAACTTGACTTGCTCAGGCCCTTTTGTATCTGCCTTAGTATAAACACTGCAGTGACAGCAAATATCTGTTAGGTAAATGAAATATTAAATACAGCAAAGGTAGTCTCTCTTTCCATTTTGGCAAACTACATAATTTTCTGCCTACGGCTTTATTTTACTTGCCCCAGGCAAGCGCTACATTATTTCCATAAAGTACTGACTCTCCGTATGTTGGGGCCATTCATAAATACATTTCAGGGCATTTTTTTGTTATCACAGCAATCAAGCCTCAGCAATCTAAAGGAATATACATTGCACTCCTGTGTAATATGCAAGATTTATCACCAATAAGATGGTGATTCAGCACTCAATAAATAATATATCAATATAGTCAGTTGCACCATAATCTAAAAACAAGTATAACATATACTTTGGACAGACTGAGTTCATATATATATACATATATATTAAAAGACACATACAATACAAATTGCATACTGCCATCGAAAGCCAAGAAGAGCCGTCCATATGCTCTGCTTTATGGCTAATAGTTTCAAATCAAAATAAACGTCTCGGGCTGTTTTACTCTGGTGTCCTGAAGATCTGTTTATAATTATAAATGGTTGCACCTTATCACCTAGGAACCTGCAAGTTTGACAGCAAATTCAAATAATATCGATATCTGAGCAAGCCTAGTCTGATTAAGCCATTTTTAAGGTTCACCAACTGGGACCGCGTTCAGTGAGGGAATTAAAATTACGGCGCTGATATGTATTTAATATACAACCATCTCGGGAATCATTTAGGAAGCCAGGAGTTAGGGATTCCCTCATCGTTAGTCACTAGTGCGACTTGCATTAGTACTGAAGCGACATGCGTTTCCACTGCTGTTGTGTAGAGGTACGGAAGGACAGGTTTAGACCGTTCGCCTGCACTTTGACACGAGGGATGGAAGTCTATTACGTAGTTGCATTTTTTTTAGCTATGACATCTGACAAGGTACGTAACTTTTCTCTCGGAAACAGTGGTAAATCCCAAATTGAGATATGCTTCTGGAATCGCAAAGTTTCAATTTACCTGTTTGAGATAGCCACAGATGCGCACGGCGTTTCTTTTCAATTAACAAGACCGCTGCCTATCTCCCGTACAGACAAGAAGACCTGGGACAGCACTCCAGAGGATATTTTACTACGAAGTATACTGTCTAGGTGGGACACTTTCAACCAGTTCAGGTCCACATTTTGACACGATGTAAAAAGTCTTCTGGTCATTTGAAGCCAATTTTTTAAGATCCACTGATCTAGGGGTAAGCGATACTTTTTTTTTTAAGAGACCAATGTAGCGCGACACCAAAAGGTATTTGTGGGACTCTAGTTAAGGAAAAAAAATTCCCAGAGATGAGACCATTCCTGCTAACAGTAATGGTAACTGTGCACAAAGGAGCAAGCCAAAAAACAGCCATGCTGGCTAGTGCAGCACTACACAAAAAATAAACTATGAATGCAACTTCTACGAAGGTAATTTTTATATAGCGTCAAAAGTGTGCTAGGCACTTTAGAGTATTAAAGGAAAAATAGTTGACAGTGTCCCATTAACCAAGATGTGGAGTTTGAGGGTACAGAGTTCTGTCTCGAACAGCAAACGCTAACAGAAACGTGACCTTGCACAGTGATTCAATAAAAAGGATGCTCCAACAGACCTGAAGACTCAATTCAGCTATCGTGGAAAAAGTCACAGGTCTGTTACCCATGTATCGAGTCGTACGTAGCAAAGCTTTTCTGGAAGTACAAAACACGCTGGAACGCAAAGGAAGCTCTACGAATATGCAGCTACCTTTTAGTAGGTTACTAATTTGCAAAACTTCTAAACTCTTAAAGCCCATAGGACATACTGCAGTACTAAGTAGCGTAGAATTCTATTCCTTCTCTCGAGGTTGCCATGATTTTGGCACTTAACTACAACTACACAAAAGGTTTAGTGCAATAGTTTTCCTGAACATGCACGTTCATATCTGGTACAGAATAAAGGGTTAAATGGGAGAGAAAACAAAGCAGCATTCCACAATCTCACTCCAAAGGATTCAGAGTTTGACTCTTCAAAAGGAGACCACCACAATGAGAAGTCAGTTTGTGTGACAGACACGAGTACTTTTAAAAAGGAAATGGAATTTTACCAAAGTACTGCAGAAGACCACTGCATACAGTATACCTGGTCCTGCTGTAAAACATCTTGTAAACAGTTCATAAAATCTTCATCTAAAAGTAAGGCATAAGGCACACCAGACATGTTAGGGGCACTAAGCAATACTGAAAGCAGTAGCATTTGAAACCTTTTACTCAGACAAGCACCTTATGCGGAAAGGTACTTTGGTTTACACTTTTTGGGAGCAGTCAGTTGCAACTCCGTGAACCATTTCTGTTGCACCAAGTCGCTCCCTTGCAAGTGAGTATTATGCTCCATCAAACATTAACGGGACCTTCATTAACACGGGGTAAATACAAGTTTTAAATCCATTCTGCATCAAAACAGTCAGATAATTTCCCTGTAATAGCAGGTGTGCTCCCACCCCACGATGGCTGTTGCACTGTCATCCTGTAGTGTCCGTTACCTATCAGACCCTAAAAGGAAAAAATGGACCTCAATTTCTACTTAAGATTCCTGGTTTCTCAGTCAATGGAAAAGATGCAAATGACAGTTCTGGTAGGAACTTAACTGCTGTTGGTTTTTTAA